TTGAGCTGTGGGAAAGTGATTATAACTTATAGCCTAATAGCTTATAGCTTATAACTGTGAACATAAGCTGATTTTTGACTTATAAATTAAGCTTCTCTCCCCCCACTCAAAGAATAAGTTGATTTTTGACTTACAAAAAGCTATAAGCTGTATTGCTAAGCTGAACTAAACACATCAAAATAGCTTAAATTAAGCGAAAAGCTGAAATAAGTTGGAAATAAGTCCTACCAAACAGGGCCTTTGCTGTGGTGGAAAAATTAGCAATAGTATCCACGAATAAGCCATTTGGAAGTTCTCATCTTGCTTTAGTTGAAGGATGAAATTTTTGGTCCATTAGTAATTCAAGTGGTTGGAGGTGGCAGTAGAGGGAGTGGGTTAGGATTTTCACATGGGTTACAGGCATAGAAGATGAAGACAAAGACAATAATGTCCTTTGCATTAAAATTGACTTTGACTAAAAAAAAGAAAAAAAAAATTCTTGTCAACCCTCAAAATGTGTGTAAATTTGGATGGAATTTTTAACAGTAGCCATGTTGACATGGACTCTTATAGTACATGAACTTGGGTATGAATATTGGGTGCGACTGTGTGGGTGAGTGTCTTAGCACCAAACCTTCATAAACCTAAAACTTAGGATATTTGGATGTTTATCCAAAACTTAGATATGGGTACACAGATGTGTCATGGACACTTGCTTACAGTACATGTTGTATCATGTTTTTAGATAAGACATTGTAAATTATGTAGAAATGTACTTGAAATGTATAGGATTTAGAAAAAAATATAGAATTTTGATCTCTCATTCATGTGAGAGATTAGAAATATTTATTTACTAGCAAATGTGGGTTTTTTCTTCAGACATCATAAAAAATTAGAAGGTCTAAGTGTCTCAATTGTGTACGGATATCAAACACATGTCTCACATCCTTACCATTATCATAGTTGAGGTGCGTGTAAACTGGTCCGGACACCCGGTCATAAAAAAAAATAATAATAATAAAAAAATAATCGATGACACGGGTACTAAGTGTTTTGTGGCCATACTATACGGCAGGGGTGCACGTGGATTGTTTTGTGGCCATACTATATGATAGGGATGTGCGTGGTGCAGTTCGGTGCAGTTTGAGTGTAAAATTATAAACAAAACCATAAATGGCGGATTAGCAAATAACTATACCACGGTTTGAACGATTTGGACAGTTTCAATTTGTTAGTTAATTGAAGAATAACCTTAAACAATTATCAAGCATTTGTATAATGCATAACACTAATTTGCATAATATTTTTTTATATATAACACTAAGTAAGCTTACATAATATTTTTCATATATATATAACATTAATTTTCAACAAATTCCACATCTTAAATCACTCTTACACTAATTTTTATTTTGATATTTCATTAGAGGTAAAAAAAAAAAATGTATTAACTTATAGGGGAGCAAAGCGGTTTCAAAGGGGGATTATAAATTTCGAACCAGGGTTCAAACTAACACCACGGTCGGATTGGTGCGGATTGGACAGTATTTTGCACGGCTGTACTATATGGGATAAATTGGATTTTGTCCTAAATTTTACTTCTTGTTTATCAAGTATTAATTTAACACTAATGTATATTAGTCTCTTAAAATATGAAATAGTACTTCTGATTTTATGGTGTTATACTTTGTTTGCTTCTCCTATTCCTTTTTCTTTTTGGAGGTGGCTAGGATGGCAGCTAATGGGACTGCAGAGATCCAACAAGTTGGAAAACCCAGTAGGACATACTCAATGAAAGGAAAGGATATTGCATCAAGAAAAGGAAAAACAAGGCCCCCACTTAATTTCCTGTCGATTTTGCATAATGCAAAGAAAACGATCGACACGTCTTGTCCCGATAAGCTGTGTAAGCAGCTCTACACTGGAGTATTCTTAGAAGACAAGAAACTGGCAAGTCTATATAGATTTTCTCCCACATCTTAGATGAACCGATGGAACTTTTTATTATTATTTCAGAATCAGTATACATTTCATGTTTCATAGTGATTCTCTATGATATATTTATCTATTCCTTGAACCTTAACTATGTAATGAAATATATGTAATGTGCCCATATATAATATTGCGTGCGCATGTAAAATATTTATACTACACCAAAATAAACTTGTGCTTTTATGTTTAATATATCCTGAAATTGTTTATATTCAAAATTTTAATGTCAAGATGATTTTGTTTTCATTTTTTCTACAAAATAGAAAGTATGTAAACAAAAATGTATTATTTGAGGGTGTCAATGATCAAGATCATGATTTATGGTACTTGACATAATTTCACAATATATATAGGTATATATAGCAAGTTGTACTATTTACAAACACCATAAGTTGGAGTATGTACAAATTGATCTTGTCTGGTGTAGCTTCTGTGTTTTGATTATCAATTTTTAGCTCGTTAGAAACTATACCAAACTGGACCAATATCAATTTTATTGTTCATGATATTGTAGGAACTATTTGAAAGCATAGTGTACTAATAAAGTTAGGGGTTTTAAGGTTGTTTGGTCATTTTGTTATTTTTAGGTAAGGATGTGTATAGTTCGGATTATATTTATGTAAGGGTATGATTTAATCTTACGAGGATTTTAGGATTCAATTCTATGATTAAATAAAGTTTGTGACAACTTTGCAATACAAGTTTTTTTAGATCTGTCTTGTCATCAATGAAAATTACCTTTATCTTTTACATATGTTCTTTTGAAATCCGTAAGGTTTGCATGATTATAAAGCACCTATGTAGAGGCTTTTTCTTTGTTTCTCTCTAACAAACTTCAACTTTTGATCGAAATTGAGAAATTCAAAGTAATTCTAGAATTAATTGCGTTCTCAATTGTGTCATGTTTTATACGTGTGTTGTACTCTTCTTAGCACAGCAAATAGAACAGTTGTCTATTACATTTAAGTATGGATAGTTGCTATCGTTATTTTTATTTTATTTTCCATTGTTGTCATTATTTATTGCTATTCATGCATGTTTTTGTTACTTCAACTGCAGAAGTATTTTGTCGACGAGAACACAAACAAGAATTGCTTCATGCTTTTTGCAAGGAAACTTGATATCTGTTGGATTGATAATCCTAAATATTGGAAATGGATCGAAGAGGAGACAAGGTAAGTGAAATAATATGTATAGCTTAAGAACTTCATGTATTGTTATCTTCAAGGCCACTTAAAGTTTGATCAATGAGACTGATCAGTGGCATGATAAGAAGCAATTGGGCTTAACCAATGTTACCAGAAAATGCTAAATACTCTAGTGATTTATGTTTCAGAACATGGGTCCCGAAATATGGTTTATTTTCATTCGAAAACAATGAATTTAGCAATTCAAAGCAATCCCAAATTTATTTCCTTTTAAAAAAAGCCCCAATTATAATGAATTAATATCTAGGGAGAGTGGAGTTTTGGAATGACCAAAAAAAATAAAAAGAGGATGAAAATAGAAATATGTTTGTACATGATCAATTTAAAAAAAAATATATGGGCTATAGTTTATTGGATGTCTAATTGTTTAAAAAAAATTCTATGGAAGTACCGTAACAGTGTAATCTATATAATTTCTATCATACCACATTTCCGTTTCTGATTCACATATTGGAACATTTGTTGATGAAATGGGCAAACTATTTTTCTTATTTTACATGGAAAAATAAGTTTACAATGGATATGGGGATATTTGTGGTCGTAAAACTTTTTGTTTTCTTCTTTTCCGAACATGGACAGTTTTAAACACGGACAGTTTACATGGTTTTGCATGCAGTGGTGAAGAGATTGAAGTGGCTGAGCTAATAGAGGTATGTTGGTTCGATATTAGAGGGAAGTTTGATAGAACAATTGATCTCTCACCAGGAGCAATGTATGAAATTGTTTTTGTCGTGAGGATGATTGATGACGATGTGTACCAGACTCATATATCAAATTGTACAGTGACGCTTGTCATGATTCTCCCGCGTTCAAGAACGCAACGTAATGAAAGTTTAGAAGGAAAGCCTGTAGAAGAATGGTTTGAGATCCTGGTGGGTGAGTTTATCATGTCACCAGAAAACGTTGGAAGCGTCGAATTCTCCATGGAGGACCATGGTCCAGACTGGAAGGGTGGGCTTATTGTGAAAGGTGCTCTCATTCGGCCCAAGGTGTAAATAACTTTAGGCACTTGGATGGTTGGTAAACTTCTCTATATCCCAAGAATATCCAATGCAATTAATGTGAGAACATGTGTAGTGGAATACGTAAGCAAATTATTATTATTATTATTTTGTAGAATGCTTGTATGATATATTTGTCCTAATTTTTTGTATGAGATTGCATGGATTCATGGGTCTATATATATTTGAGTCATTAGAATTTAGTTTGTGTGATTCAACCAACAACTGCTATGCATTATGAAAATTTATCTGAATTTTAATCTGAAAGTGAGTGTGGTGTAGATTTAAAATTTGTGAGATGTGGGGGAGGGGTGCCGTTGAGATGTAGCTCTAGTTTAGGAGCTCCAGGTTGGTTTAGATTGAGCTCTTGGTGTCCCAAACTCAGTTATGGCTTGGCTTACCCTGCCTCTGATGGAAAGAGGTACGTTGTCCATGCAAGACGGAAGCAACCCGATCCAATCCATGGATACACCAACAAGAGAGCCTACCCAAGACAAGCCCCAGTCCCATAGCAAGCGAGTTCTAATAAAAATAGACCATTGATTTCTTTTCATAGATAATTTTTGAATAATTTTCTTTTGGATATGGTACTGTTGCTGTTCAACCAAACCTGATTGCCTTCCTTTGTCTCTCTCTCTGTGTACATATATAAGTACATCCAATTTAGTACTCAATAGATGCAGGGCTAAAGAGGGTCAATATGAGGTTCAGTTGACGTAAGGTGTTAGTTTATGTGGTTTTCAAAATTTTAGAAATCAGATTTTCATTTCTTTTATTTTGTTTTTTTATTGGGTAAATCACACTTAGCACCTTTATACTTTGCCAACAATTTTACATGCTAATCTCAGGCGAAACCCAACATAGGCAACACTAACGCTGTGTTTTGTTGGAGAATTTGGGAAGGGATTTGGAAAAGGAAAGAGAAAAGGTAAATGAAATGTGAATAAAATATATTTATATTTCACCTAGTTTTATAAATTTTTTCTCTATTCTTTTTCAAATTCCTTCACAAATCTCCTAATAAAAAACAGCGTAACAGCATCAAAACTAGAACATGAATACCATGCAATTCAGAAAGCATGGGAAACACTTGACATGCAAACAAACAACAAACTTGAGCCATCTAGCTGAACCAGACCACCCAAATAATTATGGGACGTGCGAAACAGTTATAACCCTTTCGACTATTACTAGATGGCCAAGAAGTTGCAAATGAGGAGTGTTGTGACTATAAATAGTAGTTCAGATGAAGAAATGAGAAGCAAATTCCATCCAGACGTAATTCAATTACTTTATTTTCTTTGTTATGCCTTTCCTTTCCAAATAAGAGTAGTTATAGCAGTAACATGAACAATAACAAGATTAGGAGTAGATTCAAATACTTATAATACTAAAAGTGATATACTTGGAAAGAGTAGAAGTAGAAGTAACGGTAAAGTACATTTCTCTCTCTTGTAATTGTATTGACACTCCATCAAAATGAAATTTATTTCCTTTCCTTTAACTTTTTGTATTCAACTTTCTTCTCAAGTGGTTTCATTTGACACTTTAATGGCGTATGAAGTGTTTGAAGGGGTAGATGGGTTAGGTTTTGAGTGGAAGGTAGAAGATGAAGTTGGAGGAGAAGAAAAAGGTATTATGTCTTTTAACAAGCAGCTATAACAATTACATAATGTCGTTACGTAATAGTTACTGCTATCTGTTATACCCGTTATAGCGATGTCATTGATACCTAAATATTACATATTTAACCTGTCAATATACACTTTATTAATCTATTAATTTGTATTATTTTATTATTTTTTATGATTTTAAGTATTTGTATATATTTTGTGTGCTTCTATATAAATTGTTTTAAATAATATTTTTTTAGGTATTTTATATTAATAAACTAATAAAGAAAATAATAAAAAAATAAAGGGCAAATTACATATACCTTCTTTGAGGTTTAGCTAAATTACAGATATCCCCCTGAGGTTTCGGAAATTACAGATACCCCCTGAGGTTTATATTTTCATAACAAATTGTCCCTTGAGGTTTATATTTTCATAACAATTTGCCTCCTAATTTGTTATGTAAATAGTATCTTCAGGGACTATCTGTAATTTCTCAAACCTCAGGGGTATCTATAATTTTGCTAAATCTCGAGGGGTATATGTAATTTTCCCAAAAATAAAAGAATCACATAGTGCCGCACTTGGCGACACTATGATTCAAATCACTACATCTTCCATTCTTTCTTTCTTTTATATTGCTTATTATTTATTTGTTCTGCAGGTTGTGCGGATCATCAGCCACTTCACTTTTATTTATTCAATTGATTTGCTTTTGCAGGTTGTCATTCATGATGGCATTGAATTATTGAAACTTTGCAGCAACCTATAAATTGAGCAAGCATTCGGAAGAGGGGGAGTTCGGGCAGGGGGCAGAGAGTAGAAGGCAGAGAGCCGAGAGAGTAGTTCATATTTCTTCTTTCAATTTGTGTAGTTAATTATGAGTAGCTAAATATTTTGCCAAGGTGAGTGAACTCACAAGAAGTGTTTGAAGTTTGCCAATTATTCTTCATGGTTTTAATGTAAGATTTTATTTTATTTGATTGGTTATTTTATTTGAAAAAGTATTTCTGTATAATTCTTTGATTTATCGTTAATTCCGGATACGGTGAATGCTTAAAATTCCTTGCGAATTAAATTACTAGTGTTGACATGTTAAACCAATCAAGTTTTTATGAAATCATATGTTGGAAAATATTTTTCATGAACTAAAAATTGTTAAACTTTCCGGTTGGGGTCAACTTTCGTATAAATCTCAATTGAGTTATAAAATTAGAATTTTTAGCAAACACCATTCAACTTCTTGTGTGTGAATTTCCAAACCTAGTTTCATTAAAAATTTTATAAACAATCACATTAAATCTTCGGTGACCAACTCAAACTCCGCATCAAACCAAAATTTCATAAACTCTTAGTATTCTACGAGTGACATGGTCAGAGTAAATACCAGAAAATTTTTCATTAATCATGATAGAGGTTACATTAACATGAAACCATTCTCTCATTTTTAGGGACATTGCATCTAACCAACTACTATCCCCATTAGTTAATATAATACATGGAATTCCTCTTCTAATAGTGAGATCTGGTTGGAATTTAATAAATAAATGGAAATCTCTCTAGCAACCTACTAAATTTTTCATGGATTGTCGAGTATTTGATGTCGTCTATGACATTGTAGACGGCGTCTTAATCGTAGTCCTTGAAGCTTATTTTGCCGTGACAAGTATGTAGTATGGCTGACAGGCTAGTTAGAGAAGGGATTGGAGGAGTTCTAAGAGTTGTTCTTTTGGGTATGAGCATTGTGGGTAGGTGAGGAAAACATTCTTGGCATAAAAGACGGAAAGAGGCTTGGCGGGGCATTTTGTAGTGGTAAACAGTGAACTTACACCAGCCGTACAAGGCCTCCCTATTAGTTAAAAAACCTGGCGTGAATGGTGTGAGTGGTGTGACTGGGGAGGTGCTGTATTAATATTACCAGCGCCCCCCCTCCCGCTGATCTGGGCTGTCCATGGCTGTACTTATGGACACGTGTATGGATGTGGTTAAAATGAAGTTACACCTGGGCCCAGGTGTGAGTGGTGTGAGTACTTTTGATTCCTTTGCCAGATAGTGTTATACACGTGTCACATTTATGGTGGTTTGCTTGGTTGTAAAGCAAATATTCTTGCAGAATGATAAACATAAAGCAAAGGCGGGAAAATAAACGTGTTTGAATAATTTTGAATTGGGAATCTTCGTCCTTACACGCGGGCCAATTTGGCTATTTATTTAGTACCAGAAAATATTTTTTGATAGAGAAGAATATGCTTTTGCAGTGGGATAGCTATTGCGGTGAAGTTGTTTTCTGGTACCTTGTTTCGTCCCTCCTTTTCAGTCTTTTTTGTTTGTTGATTGTTTTGGTATACAATGTTGTACTCCTTAGAAGAGTATCCCGAGAATTACGGGCAGTTCACTCAAATATGTGTAAATCGTTTTTTGACGTGGCAAATAGGACTGTGAGAAGAGAGCCGGTGGTCAACTCCAGCGAAGTTTGTTCGTGGGTACGATTCTGTCCCCACACCTGACAAGATATTTATTGGAGTTGGCGAGGGTCATCCCGAGACCTGGGTTGTTGATCTTGACCAGTCCGACCGGTTTCGGATGCTAAAGAAAATGAGATTCAAGCTCGTTGGTGGCAAGGACAAAGAGTACGTTTGTCACGGGATAGAAGTTGTGGACCGGTTCTTCCCAGTTGATGTTTGGATGAACTATAAAGATACGCTGTTGGGAAATGTTGGAAGTATTCAAAAGGGTGTCATATATTTAGTGGCTACTACTGTTAGTGGAAAAGAATGCAAAATTACTTTAAGGAGTCAAATGTACTTTAAAACTGTTTAGAATTGTAATTTTATGTATTTTTGTTTGTAAAGTTCAGGTTAATGGAGGTGGACGATATAAAAACTGGTGTTGTTGCAGGTGTTTCAGTAAGTGATTTCAGTTGTATTGAACTTGCTTTGCCTAATTTATTTTCTCAATTGAGGTTAAGATACAAACAAAAAAGTATTAAGGTTGATAAAATATTGATAAAAATTTTCCCCCATTTGCGCACCCAATGCCAGTGGGTTGGTCAGAGTAAATGTTTATGACCGGAGGTTAGATGGTAATGACAGTCTGCAGGCGTGGTTTATTTTCCTTGTGAATTGTCAATGCGAGTTAGTCTATTATGGGAATGGTTTTTGTTCAATTAATGACAAACCAGTGCCATGGATGGTGAAGTATCGGACTGGTCAGGATCAACAATCCAGGTCTCAAGATTACCCTCGCCAACTCCAATAAATATCTTATCAGGTGTGGGGATGGAATCTGACGGACTATTATCACTTATGACGAAAAACAAAACGTGGTGGACCACAGCTTCCTCTTTAGCAGCTTGTCTCAATTGAACATTCCCAATTAATTTTATGCCCTTAACCACGATCTTATCTGATTGACGGTCACTTCTCTTATTACCCAACTCAATACCATTAAGCAATCTCGCCACACCTTTATTATCAAATTTAACGTCCCTTAATTGTTCATCGTACAGTTGTAACTTTCTTACTCCCCTCTTAGTCCTCTTTATATATCGGGGAATATTTTGAACATACCTATACAACAAATTCCTGTGG